ACTATAACATACAATGTCCCTTTAACACACCACATACACAACTAAAGACTATAACATACAATGTCCCTTTAACACACCACATACACGACTAAAGACTATAACATACAATGTCCCTTTAACACACCACATACACGACTAAAGACTATAACATACAATGTCCCTTTAACACACCACATACACGACTAAAGACTATAACATACAATGTCCCTTTAACACACCACATACACGACTAAAGACTATAACATACAATGTCCCTTTAACACACCACATACACGACTAAAGACTATAACATACAATGTCCCTTTAACACACCACATACACGACTAAAGACTATAACATACAATGTCCCTTTTAACACACCACATACACGACTAAAGACTATAACACATACAATGTCCCTTTAATACACACTATAACATACCATGTCCCTAAAGACTATAACATACAATGTCCCTTTAACACACCACACATACACGACTAAAGACTATAACATACAATGTCCCTTTAACACACCACATACACGACTAAAGACTATAACATACAATATCCCTTTAACACACCACATAACACGACTAAAGACTATAACATACAATGTCCCTTTAACACACCACATACACGACTAAAGACTATAACATACAATGTCCCTTTAACACACCACATACACGACTAAAGACTATAACATACAATGTCCCTTTAACACACCACATACACGACTAAAGACTATAACATACAATGTCCCTTTAACACACCACATACACGACTAAAGACTATAACATACAATGTCCCTTGAACACACCACATACACGACTAAAGACTATAACATACAATGTCCCTTTAACACACCACATACACGACTAAAGACTATAACATGCCAATGTCCCTTTAATTACACCACATACACGACTAAAGACTATAACATACAATGTCCCTTTAACACACCACATACGACTAAAGACTATAACATACAATGTCCCTTAATAACACACCACATACTACGACTAAAGACTATAACATACAATGTCCCTTTAACACACCACATACACGACTAAAGACTATAACATACAATGTCCCTTTAACACACCACATACACGACTAAAGACTATAACATACAATGTCCCTTTAACACACCCACACACGACTAAAGACTATAACATACAATTTCAGTCGTTAAACGCCCCAGCCACTGTAGTATTGCAGTATATTGCACGGACCCTGTTCGAGACTTGGAATAGCAACCCAGTGGTTCATATTAGGCTTAAATCGTCACAGCCTCAGGTAAGGTCACTTCTCTTACTCCCTAGTATATACCAGGTATAGTAGGTCACTGCCTGACTTTCGCCTTTATCATAAATTGATACCATATGTCCCATTATGAAAACAAAACAAAACAACAAAATAATGTGAATTGTGAAATGGTCACTCAGAGCCAGAGGTTCTACTAATAAGTCCAACAGAAATTTGGACAGATTAACAGATTTGTCAATTTTTAAGGGCATTTAGAAGTGGAATGCATAAGAAAAGCAAGATTTATGGATGTCAACATTTTTATTGTGAATATTCATGACCTGATGAAGGAGCAAGCATTCACTCCGAAACGTTGTGCTATTCACAACAATAAGTTATAACAACAATAACATAAATTTTGCTTTTCGTAAAAGATTGGTCCATTTGAGGCCACTTAATTCCTCAAAACGTCACATATGAAACAATTCAAATATTTGGCACTTTTGCAGTCACTTATAAAGACACTTCCACTTGACATCCATAAATCTTGCTTTTCGTAAAAGATTGGTCCATTTGAGGCCACTTAATTCCTCCAAAACGTCACATATGAAACAATTCAAATATTTGGCACTTTTGCAGTCACTTATAAAGACACTTCCACTTGACATCCATAAATCTTGCTTTTCGTAAAGATTGGTCCATTTGAGGCCACTTAATTCCTCCAAAACGTCACATATGAAACAATTCAAATATTTGGCACTTTTGCAGTCACTTATAAAGACACTTCCACTTGTAAAATGTTACATGAAACAGAAAAGAAACAAAGGTATATTTGGCACTTTTAGAGCTCATTTTGTTGCTATATGGAAATCAAGGGCAGATAATTCAAAGGAGCCAACTCTGGATGACCCAATATATTGCAGAATCTTAACCATATCGCGATAATCGTCTCATGAGACACTTTACCAGTATATACCGGTTTACCGGTAATATTGCACAGCCCTACCCTTTGTAAGAAATAGCGAAAGTGACAACAAAATAATGATCGTTTGTTAAACAATTGTTTTATTCGGGTGTCCAAACTTAAAGAGACAAATCATCAGAGTTGGTCTGTCGATTTCATGTGACTGTGCAAAATTTGGTTTTGTTGCAGTTATTAAATTTTGTGTTAGTGAGCAATTCATCGGTCTGAAATGAAGTCAAACGGACTATAAACATGCTCATTCTCTGGAAGACGACGATAGAGCTGTCAGGAGACAATCGTCTCAGTATGATGTGTACACAATACCAGAACAACTCAGGTCCGACCTTGGTAGTGGCGTCCCTGGAGAACACGGCTGGTTGTATAGTACCATATATTGACTTCTGAAGACAACGAAAGAGCAGTATTGCCGTAAGATGAATGAGTGTTTAGTTTCAGTTTGTCTTTGGCAAATTATTGATTAGAATATTTACAAGACGTAGTGGTAAATGCTTATGGAAAAATATAACTGTGAGTCATTTAAAGTTCAGTCAAACATATTGAAATAAAATAATGCATCTTTAAATACGTACTCATGAATACATCTCGTGAGTCACAATAAGTACAATGAAAATCCACATCACACAGTCTGGATGATTGTGTGTTTGTTTGAAGCATGATGCTCACACTGGCTTCTTTAATGTATAGGGCTCCCAAGTTTGGTTTAGCCATCAGATGCTCATGATTTCATCAAATGTAAACCTTTTCATCAGGAACATGACCTTTGTGCCACTCTATATGAAACACAGTCACTCTATTTGTTTGTATAGCTGGAATATCGCGGCATTAAACATCATGTACTGGCTCATGATCATAAATATAATGTTGTAGAGAGACTACGAAACATTACAGCTTGTTACCATAGATCTCGGTCCCTATCTAGTGAGCGTTTATAACTTTAAGACCTATCGAAAGTATTTAGTTTATCACAGGTTCACGAGTATCGTAGAGCTCCGAGCGCTTGATCAGGGTGCAGGTGTACAAAAGAACCTTAGCTAGGACTGCTGGAGAAGTATCTAAGGTATGGGATTAACGATCACCTCAGTGCTGGTGTCGCTTCGTACAACTCATTCTGGGTAGTTACAGCAGCTCCACATCACAGTGTCGTAATCACGACTACTCTTTGTCCATAGATCGCTCTGTAGAGTTACAGCTCATCCAACCAAGCCCGCATTCGTGGACCTCATTGTGAGGTGCTGCAGGCCATACAGACTTTTGATGCAAAACAGAGGTGATGTCTTGTTTTAAAACGATTTTATATTCAGGATGTAGTTTCATGGGAATTGACCAGTAACATTGTAATTTTAACGTATATTAGACATACAACAAGTTTGCCATGAAGAAACAAATCCACAAGTAACCATTTCACATTACAAATAACAAACATGATTAGTTAGGACAGTGTCATTCACGTAATCATTAAATACTCTTACCTGTATTGATTGACATTGCAGTGGAAGGTGTACAGGAGATCGCCATTTAAACACTGGTCCTCATTTCACAAAAACTAACATCACGACCAGACAGTTAACACTATGTGTGTGTCAGTTGAACCTATCAAGACCAGGGTGTGTCAACATCACTACCAGACAGTTAACACTATGTGTGTGTCAGTTGAACCTATCAAGACCAGGGTGTGTCAACATTACGACCAGACAGTTAACACTATGTGTGTGTCAGTTGAACCTACCAAGACCAGGGTGTGTCAACATCACTACCAGACAGTTAACACTATGTGTGTGTCAGTTGAACCTACCAAGACCAGGGTGTGTCAACATCACTACCAGACAGTTAACACTATGTGTCTGTCAGTTGAACCTATCAAGACCAGGGTGTGTCAACATCACTACCAGACAGTTAACACTATGTGTGTGTCAGTTGAACCTACCAGGACCAGGGTGTGTCAACATCACTACCAGACAGTTAACACTATGTGTGTGTCAGTTGAACGTACCAACACCAGGGTGGGTCAACATCACGACCAGACAGTTAACACTATGTGTGTGTCAGTTGAACGTACCAACACCAGGGTGCGTCAACATCACTACCAGACAGTTAACACTATGTGTGTGTCAGTTGAACCTACCAGGACCAGGGTTTGTGCAACATCACTACCAGACAGTTAACGCTATGTGTGTGTCAGTTGAACCTACCAGGACCAGGGTGTGTCAACATCACTACCAGACTGTTAGCACTATGTGTCTGTCAGTTGAACCTACCAGGACCAGGGTGTGTCAACATCACTACCAGACAGTTAACACTATGTGTGTGTCAGTTGAACCTATCAAGACCTGGGTGTGTCAACATCGCGACCAGACAGTTAACACTATGTGTGTGTCATTTGAACCTACCAGACCAGGGTGTGTCAACATCACTACCAGACAGTTAACACTATATGTGTGCCAGTTGAGCCTATCAAGACCAGGGTGTGTCAACATCACTACCAGGCAGTTAACTACTATGTGTGTGTCAGTTGAACCTATCAAGACCAGGGTGTGTCAACATCACTACCAGACAGTTAACACTATGTGTGTATGTCAGTTGAACCTACCAGACCAGGGTGTGTCAACATCACTACCAGACGAAGTTAACACTATGTGTGTGTCAGTTGAACCCTACCAACACCAGGGTGTGTCAACATCACTACCAGACAGTTAACACTTTGTGTGTGCCAGTTGAACCTATCAAGACCAGGGTGTGTCAACATCACTACCAGACAGTTAACACTATGTGTCTGTCAGTTGAACGTACCAAGACCAGGGTGTGTCAACATCACGACCAGACAGTTAACACTATGAGAGTGTCAGTTGAACCTACCAGACCAGGGTGTCAACATCACTACCAGACAGTTAACACTATGTGTGTCAGTTGAACGTACCTCAACACCAGCGGGTCAACATCACTACCAGACAAAAGTTAATTCACTCATGTGTCTGTCAGTTGAACGTACCAACACCAGGGTGTGTTAACATCACTACCAGACAGTTAACACCATGTGCGTGTCAGTTGAACCTATCAACACCAGGGTGCGACATCACTTCTAGACAGTTAACGCTATGTGTGTGTCAGTTGAACCTATCAACAACACGCTGCGACATCACTACCAGACAGTTAACGCTATATGTGTCTCAGTTGAACCTACCAGGACCAGGGTGTGTCAACATCACTACCAAACAGTTAACACTATGTGTCTGTCAGTTGAACCTACCAGGACCAGGGTGTGTCAACATCACGACCAGACAGTTAACACTATGTGTGTGTCAGTTGAACCTACCAGGGCCAGGGTGTGTCAACATCACTACCAGACAGTTAACGCTATGTGCGTCAGTTGAACCCACCAGACCAGGTGTGTCAACATCACTACCAGACAGTTAACACTATGTCAGTTGAACCTATCAGACCAGGTGTGTCAACATTACGACCAGACAGTTAACACTATGTGTGTGTCAGTTGAACCTACCAAGACCAGGGTGTGTCAACATCACTACCAGACAGTTAACACCATGTGTGTCAGCTGAACCTCCACCAGACCAGGGTGCGTCAACATCACTACCAGATTGCGTTAACACGCTGCGTCTGTCAGTTGAACCTACTCCAGACCAGGGTGTGTCAACATCACGATTCAGACAAAGTTAACGCCATGTATGTGTCAGGTTGAACCTACCACAGACCAGGTGCGTCAACATCACTCACCAGACAGTTAACACTAAGTGTGTCAGCCGACCCTACCAGGACCAGGGTGCGTCAACATCACTACCAGACAGTTAACACTATGCGTGTGTCAGTTGAACCTACCAGACCAGGGGTGTCAACATCACTACCAGACAAGTTATTACTATGTGTCAGTTGACCCTACCAGCACCAGGTGCGTCACGTCAACATCATTGAACCGGTGATTGTTAACTACATGGCGTGCCAGCTGAACCTACCAGGACCAGGGTGCGTCAACATCACTACCAGACACTTAACACCATGTGCGTGTCAGTTGAACCTACCAGGACCAGGGTGTGCTTCAACATCACTACCAGACAGTTAACACTATGTGTGCGTCAGCTGAACCTACCAGGACCAGGGTGGTAGTCAACATCACGACCAGACAGTTAGCACTAACTGTGTGTGTCAGCTGATCCTACTCAGCACCAGGGTGCGTCAACATCAACGCTGCAGACATTTAACACTATGTGCGTGTCAGTTGAACCTACCAGACCAGCGTGTCAACATCACGACCAGACAGTTAACACTATGTTGTGTGTCAGTTGAACATATCCAGACCAGCGTGTCAACATCACGACCAGACAGTTAACGCCATGTGTGCGTCAGTTGAACCTACCAGGACCAAGGTGCGTCAACATCACTACCAGACAAAGTTAACGCTATGTGCGTGATCAGCTGAACGTACCAACACCAGGTGGGTCAACATCACGACCAGACAGTTAACACTATAATGCGTGTCACGCTGAACCTACCAGGACCAGGTGTTACAACATCACGACCAGACCAGTTATTACTATGTGGTGTCAGTTGAGGGCCTACCAGCACCAGGGGTGTGTCAACATCACAACCAGACAGTTAACCACTATGTGTGCGCCAGTTGAACCTATCCAGACCAGAGGGGTGTCAACATCACCACCAGACACTTAACACTATGTGTGTGTCAGTTGAACCTACCATATCCAGGGGTGCCGTCAACATCACTACCAGACAAAGTTAACACCATGTGTGTGTCAGTTGAACCCACCAGGACCAGGGTGTGTCAACATCACTACTCACAGACAGTTAACACTATGTGTGTGTCAGTTGATCCTACCAGGACCAGGGTGTCAACATCACGACCAGACAGTTAACACTATGTGTCTGTCAGCTGAACATAAACCAGGACCAGCGTTGCGTCAACATCAATGACCACAGACAGTTAACACTATGTGTGTCAGCTGAACCTACCAGGACCAGCGGTTGTGTCAACATCACCACCAGACAGTTAACGCTTATGTGTGTGTCAGCTGAACCTACTTCAGGACCAGGGTGTCAACATCACGACCGACAGTTAACGCCATGTGTCTGTCAGTTGAACCTACCAGGACCAGGGTGTGTCAACATCACTACCAGACAAAGTTAACACTAGCTGTGTCTGCGTCAGTTGAACCTACCAGGTACAGGGCGTGTCAACATCACAACCAGTACAGTTAACATATGTATGTGTCAGTTGAACTCTACCAGGACCAGGGTGTATCAACATCACGACCAGACAGTTAACACTATGTGTGTCAGTTGAACGTACCAACACCAGGGTGTGTCAACATCAATACCAGACCAGTTAACACCATTTCATGGTCAGTTGAACCTATCAACACCAGGGTACAGACATCACTACCAGACAGTTAACGCTATGTGTGTCACTTGAACCTACCAGGACAAAGGGTGTGTCAACATCACTACCAGACAGTTAACACCATGTGCGTGTCAGATGAACCCTATCAACACCAGGGTGCTCAACATCACTACCAGACAGTTAACGCCATGTGTGTGTCAGTTGAACCTATCAACACCAGGGTAAAGCATATCGCTACCAGAAAGTTAACGCTATGTGTGTGTCAGTTGAACCTACCAGACCAGGGTGTGTCAACATCACAACCAGACAGTTAACACTATGTGTCTGTCAGTTGAACCTTACCAGGACCAGGGTGTGTCAACATCACGACCAGACAGTTAACGCTATGTATGTGTCAGTTGAACCTTACCGGTGACCAGGGTGTGTGTCAACATCACTACCAGACAAAGTTAACACTATGTGTGTCAGTTGAACCTACCAGGACCAGGGTGTGTCAACATCACTACCAGACAGTTAACACTATGTGTGTCAGTTGAACCTACCAGGATCAGGTGTGTCAACATCACTACCAGACAAAGTTAACACTATGTGTGTGTCAGTTGAACCTATCCAGGACCAGGGTGTGTCAACATCACGACCAGACAGTTAACATGTGTGTGCGTGTCAGTTGAACCTACCTTCAGGACCAGGGTGTGTCAACATCACGACCGGACAGAAGTTAACACCATGTGTGTGTCAGCTTGAACCTACCAGGACCAGGGGTGTCAACATCACGACCAGACAGTTAACGCTATGTGTCTGTCAGTTGAACCTACCAGGACCAGGGTGTGTCAACATCACGACCAGACAGTTAACGCTATGTATGTCAGTTGAACCTACCAGGACCAGGGTGTGTCGTAACATCACTACCAGACAGTTAACACTATGTGTGTGTCAGTTGAACCTACCAGGACCAGGGTGTGTCAACATCACTACCAGACAGTTAACACTATGTGTGTCAGAAGAACCTACCAGACCAGGGTGCGTCAATATCACCACCAGACAGTTAACACTATGAACCGTAGCGTCACCGAACCTACCAGACCAGGGTGTGTCAACATCACGACCAGACAGTTAACACTGTGTGTGTCAGTTGAACCTACCAGACCAGGGTGTGTCAACATCACGACCGGACAGTTAACACTATGTGTGTCAGTTGAACCTACCAGGACCAGGGTGCGTCAACATCACGTGACCAGACAGTTAACGCTATGTGTCTGTCAGTTGAACCTACCAGGACCAGGGTGTCAACATCACTACCAGACAGTTAACACTATGTGTGTGTCAGTTGAACCTACCAGGACCAGGGTGTGTCAACATCACGACCAGACAGTTAACACTATGTGTGTGTCAGTTGAACCTACCAGGACCAGAGTGTGCCAACATCACTACCAGACAGTTAACACTATGTGTGTGTCAGTTGAACGTACAACACCAGGGTACCAGGGTCAACATCACTACCAGACAGTTAACACCATTTGCGTGTGTCAGTTGAACCTATCAACACCAGGGTGCGACATCACTACCAGACACAGTTAACGCTATGTGCGTGTCAGTTGAACCTACCAGACCAGGGTGTGTCAACATCACGACCAGACAGTTAACGCTATGTGTCTGTCAGTTGAACCTACCAGGACCAGGGTGTGTCAACATCACTACCCAGACAGTTAACACTATGTGTGTGTCAGTTGAACCTACCAGGACCAGGGTGTGTCAACATCACGACCAGACAGTAAACACTATGTATTGTGTCAGTTGAACCTACCAGGACCAGAGTGTGCCAACATCACTACCAGACAGTTAACACTATGTGTGTGTCAGTTGAACGTACCAACACCAGGGTGGGTCAACATCACTACCAGACAGTTAACACCATTTGCGTCAGCTGAACCTATCAACACTAGGGTGCGACATCACTACCAGACAGTTAACGCTATGTGTGTCAGTTGAACCTACCAGGACAGCAAGGGTGTGTCAACATCACGACCAGACAGTTAACACCATGTGCGTGTCAGTTGAACCTATCAACACCAGGGTGCGCAACATCACTACCAGACAGTTAACGCTATGTGTGTGCCAGTTGAACCTTACCAGGATCAGGGTGTAGCCAACATCACTACCAGACAGTTAACACTATGTGTGTGTGTCAGTTGAACCTACCAGGACCAGGGTGCGGTCAACATCACTACCAGACAGTTAACACTATGTGTGTGTCAGTTGAACTCTACCAGGATCAGGGTGTGTCCAACATCACTACCAGACAGTTAACGCTATGTGTGGGTCAGTTGAACCTACCAGGACCAGGGTGTATCAACATCACTACCAGACAGTTAACGCTATATGCGTCAGTTGAACCTACCAGACCAGGGTGTGTCAACATCACTACCAGACAAAGTTAACGCACTATGTGTGTGTCAGTTGAACCTATCATTAATCGGGGTGAGTCAACATCACTACCAGACAGTTAACACTATGTGTGTGTCAGTTGAACCTATCAAGACCAGGGTGTGTCAACATCACGACCAGACAGTTAACACCATGTGTGTGTCAGTTGAACCTACCAGGACCAGAGTGCTGTCAACATCACTACCAGACAGTTAACATTATGTGTGCGTCAGTTGAACGGTACCAACACCAGGTGTGTCAACATCACTACCAGACAGTTAACACCATTTGCGTGTCAGTTGAACCTATCAACACCAGGGTGCGACATCACTACCAGACAAAGTTAACGCTTATGTGTCGTACCGTTGAACCTACCCGGATCAAAGGTGCGTCAACATCACGACCAGACAGTTAACACCATGCGCGACAGTTGAACCTATCAACACCAGGGGCCGCACATCACTACCAGACAGTTAACGCTATGTGTGTCAGTTGAACCCACCAAGACCAGGTGTGTCAACATCACCACCAGACCAGTTAACGCCATGTGTCCGTCAGTTGAACCTACCAGGACCAGGGTGCGTCAACATCACTACCAGACAAACACTATGTGTCTGTCAGTTGAACCTACCAGGCACAGAGGCGTGTCAACATCAATAAACCAGACAGTTAACACTATGTATGCGTCAGTTGAACCTACCAGGACCAGGGTGCGTCAACATCACTACCAGACAAAGTTAACACCATGTGTCAGGTGAACGTACCAACACCAGGGTGGTGTCAACATCACCACCAGACAAGTTAACACCATTTGCGTGTCAGTTGAACCTATCAACACAAGAAGGGTGTGTTACATCACCACCAGACAGTTAGCGCTATGTGTGTCACCTGAACCTACCGAGACAAGGAGCGTGTCAACATCACTACCAGACAGTTAACACCATGTGCGTGTCAGATGAACCTATCAACACTGGTGGGTGACATCACTACCAGACAGTTACCGCTATGTGCCTGTCAGTTGAACCTATCAACCCCCAGGTGCGACATCGCTACCAGAAAGTTAACGCTATATGTGCGTCAGCTGAACCTACCAGGACCAGGGTGTGTCAACACATCAACCAGACAGTTAACACTATTTGGCTGTCAGTTGAACCTACCAGGACCAGGGTGTGTCAACATCACGACCAGACAGTTAACGCTATGTATGTGTCAGTTGAACCTACCAGGACCAGGGTGGTCAACATCACTACAGACAGAAGTTAACACTATGTGTGTGTCAGTTGAACCTACCAGTGACCAGGGTGTGTCAACATCACTACCAGACAGTTAACACTATGCGAAATGCTGTCAGTTGAACCTACCAGGACCAGGGTGTGTCAATATCACTACCAGACAGTTAACACTCATGTGCGTGTCAGTTGAACCTACCAGGACCAGGGTGTGTCAACATCACGACCAGACAGTTAACACTGTGTGTGTCAGTTGAACCTACCAGGACCAGGGGTGTGTCAACATCACGACCGGACAGTTAACACTATGTGCGTGTCAGTTTGAACCTACCAGGACCAGGGTGTGTCAACATCACGACCGCCAGACAGTTAACGCCATGTGTCTGTCAGCTGAACCTACCAGGACCAGGCGTCAACATCACTACCAGACAGTTAACACTATGTGTGTGTCCAGTTGAACCTACCAGGACCAGGGTGCGTCAACATCACGACCAGACAGCAAAACACTATGTGCATGTGTCAGTTGAACCTACCAGGACCAGAGGTATTGTCAACATCACTACCAGACAGTTAACACTATCGTGTGTGTCAGTTGAACGTACCAACACCAGGGTGGGTCAACACTCAGACTACTCAGACAGTTAACACCAGTTTTGCGTCAGCTGAACCTATCAACACCAGGGTGCGACATCACTACCAGACAGTTAACGCTATGTGTGTGTCAGTTGAACCTACCAGGACCAGGGTGTGTCAACATCACGACCAGACAGTTAACGCTATGTGTGTGTCACTTGAACCTACCAGACAAGGGTGTGTCAACATCACTACCAGACAGTTAACACCATGTGCGTGTCAGATGAACCTATCAACACCAGGGTGCGACATCACTACTAGACAGTTACCGCTATGTGTGTGTCAGTTGAACCTATCAACCCCAGGGTGCGACATCGCTACCAGAAAGTTAACGCTATATGTGTGTCAGTTGAACCTACCAGGACCAGGGTGTGTCAACATCACAACCAGACAGTTAACACTATTTGGCTGTCAGTTGAACCTACCAGGACCAGGGTGTGTCAACATCACGACCAGACACAGTTAACGCTATGTATGTGTCGTTGAACCTACCAGGACCAGGGTGTCAACATCACTACCAGACAGTTAACACTATTGTGTCAGTTGAACCTACCAGGACCAGGGTGTACAACATCACTACCAGACAGTTAACACTTTATGTGTGTGTCAGTTGAACCTACCAGGACCAGAAGTGTGTCAATATCACTACCAGACAGTTAACACTATGTGTGTGTCAGTTGAACCTACCAGACCAGGGTGTATGTCAACATCACGACCAGACAGTTAACACTATGTGTGTGTCAGTTGAACCTACCAGGACCAGGTGTGTCAACATCACGACCGGACAGTTAACACTATGTGCGTGTCAGTTGAACCTACCAGGACCAGGGTGTGTCAACATCACGACCAGACAGTTAACGCTATGTGTCTGTCAGTTGAACCTACTCAGGACCAGGGGTGTCAACATCACTACCAGACAGTTAACACTATGTGTGTGTCAGTTGAACCTACCAGGACCAGGGTGTGTCAACATCACGACCAGACAGTAGGCAAACACTATGCGTGTACCAGCTGAACCTACCAGGACCAGAGTGTGCCAACATCACTACCAGACAGTTAACACTATGTGTGTGTCAGTTGAACGTACCAACACCAGGTGTATCAACATCACTACCAGACAGTTAACACCATTTGCGTGTCAGCTGAACCTATCAACACCAGGGTGCGTCACATCACTACCAGACAGTTAACGCTAGTGTGTGTGTCAGTTGAACCTACCAGGACCAGGTGTGTCAACATCACGACTCAGACAGTTAACGCTATGTGTCTGTCAGTTGAACCTACCAGGACCAGGGTGTGTCAACATCACTACCAGACAGTTAACACTATGTGTGTGTCAGTTGAACCTACCAGACCAGGGTGTGTCAACATCACGACCAGACAGCAAACACTATGTGTGTGTCAGTTGAACCTACCAGGACCAGAGTGTGCCAACATCACTACCAGACAGTTAACACTATGTGTGCGTCAGTTGAACGTACCAACACCAGGGTGGTCAACATCACTACCAGACAGTTAACACCATTTGCGCGTCAGCTCGAACCTATCAACACCAGGGTGCGACATCACTACCAGACAGTTAACGCTATGTGTGTGTCAGTTGAACCTACCAGGACAAGGGTGTGTCAACATCACGACCAGACAGTTAACACCATGTGCGTGTCAGTTGAACCTATCAACACCAGGGTGCGACATCACTACCAGACAGTTAACGCTATGTGTGTGCCAGTTGAACCTACCAGGATCAGGGTGTGTCAACATCATCACCAGACAGTTAACACTATGTGTGTCAGCTGAACCTACCAGGACCAGGGTGTGTCAACATCACTACCAGACAGTTAACACTATGTGTGTGTCAGTTGAACCTACCAGGATCAGGGTGCGTCAACATCACTACCAGACAGTTAACGCTATGTGGGTCAGTTGAACCTACCAGGACCAGGGTGTGTCAACATCACTACCAGACAGTTAACGCTATACGTGTGTCAGTTGAACCTACCAGGACCAGGGTGCGGTCAACATCACTACCAGACAGTTAACACTATGTGTGTGTCAGTTGAACCTATCAACACCAGGGTGAGTCAACATCACTACCAGACAGTTAACACTATGTGTGCGTCAGTTGAACCTATCACACCTCGCTGTGCGTCAAACATCACGACCAGACAGTTAACACTATGTGTGTGTCAGTTGAACCTACCAGGACCTCGAGTGTGTCAACATCACTACCAGACAGTTAACATTATGTGTGTGTCAGTTGAACGTACCAACACCAGGTTGCGTCAACATCACCACTACCAGACAGTTAACACCATTTATGCGTCAGCTGAACCCATGCTAACACCAGGCGCGACATCACTACCAGACAGAAGTTAACGCTATGTTGTGTGTCAGTTGAACCTATACCAGGACAATGTGGTGTGTCAACATCAGGACATTCAGACAGTTAACCACCATGTGCGTGACAGTTGAACCT